CCTAAAGGGTCTATAGTATATGGATAAGGCTGGGTACCTTATCCTGGCAACACTATGGATACGGCCCACTCTGTATAGGTTACAGACGACTCGATCCAGGTCGTTCGTGTGGAGAAATGTGAGTGGGGATATCTTATACAATGAGTTTGTATAAGATCGGACCACGAAATAGTCAATCTTTATATGTAACACCGTTAACTAATAGATTGTTTTTTCTTAGGATGACCAGGCAACTCATTCTCAATCCTGAGTGAGTTATGGACTCCTGCCCGTGAGGGTTCGTCCTTTGATCTGTATGGGTGAGAGTGGCCCGAGTTGCTGACTCAATATTTCTACAATTTTGGGGACGAGACCGAGTGGGGAGTTGGGAACATAACTTCACAAGATGGAATTCACTCCTCCCAGACTTTAGGGGAGTAGAGACCTGACCCGAGGCGAACTTACCTAATTCCCAAACTCGCTCAGGACTTGGCAATATGGCTCATTTCCTAGTGGCGAGGCATTCACCTGAAACTTGGAATCGTTGATCTCGCCGGTGTTTATTGGCTAAGGGGGAGTTGACAATTTTACAGAATTTATTTCGAGCCGATATATAGTACCGACTCGAATGCTCCCTATAGAGCTTTATGATGTGGGTGGCAAAGAACTGACCTACATCTAGAAGCCGACTCTCACCGCCCTAGCTAAAGCTCCACCAGGTGAACCACAGACCGAGTGATGTGGCCCACCCATTCGATGCTAATTGTGTTGGGGCTAGGTTTGAGGCCAACAGAAATCTCTTGATGAAAGGATGAAGAGGTAACCGAACCCCTCGCTCAAACATTTGAGGGTAAAAGCCTACCCATCCAAGTAGAGGATTATTTGGACTCTCGCCGACCCGAGGAAGCCTTATTAGGATCCTATCTTGAATCCTATAGTTTTCATGGAGTTTGGATAAGTTAGGATCAGTACAAATCGAGGGTCAAGGTTCGCAACGAGGCTTGTCTCAACCCGAGGTGGACACATCACCCATGAGTGGCTCTACACTATCACTCGTCAGATCTATCCTAGAGGTTTGAGGCATTGTTCTCTCGACTTGTGCAAGCCCTAATGATCACGCCCCTCGACTCGAAAGACGACGCACTCATGGAGCAAAACAAACGAGAAAGTAGAACTGACCTAAATTGTGTCTGAGCCGAGGACACCTTGAGAACGAGAGAATTTTTGGGAGTTTGGAAA